TCTGTAAGTCAAATGATTTTTCGAAATGTACTGTGCTGTTTAACTACGCAGTTATCTTCAAAAAATCATTTGATTGCCTTTCCGGTTGAATTTTTAGCTGAAATTTGGTATGAGCAAACTAGATTTAATGAAGAAGATGCTCAAAAAGTTTCATCAAAAAATTCCACCGAGGACCGGCTCAATTGATGACGGTCGGGCAGAACCTCCTTTATAAGGGGTTAATTGAACACTTTAAGTTAGTTCAAAACCTATTTGACCCTTTAGCCTATTTTAAACTATTCGATTTACATATTGTGGATAATATAGATTAAGCTTGAGGTATCAATCACATTAAAATTTGCTAACTTCTGGCTATTTTGGAAATGTATCCTCAGCTTACTCTTAATTTAATATATTTGTAGGTGACCCTTTGCCTTTTAGTTAAGCTTTTGATTTATAGTCGACCCCTTCGCTTTTGTGTTATATATCATCCTTAATTAGTTAATTTTATTTCTAGGTGATTTATTTGATATCTTGTTAGATTACTAATTACTTTACACCTCAATAATTCAATATGACATATATTAGTCTATTAATTACTACTATAAGATCCAATTGCTTCTGTTTTCTTTTTTCATTATTCGGATAAGCTTTAAATCTATGTTATTGTTTCATATCTCTTTATATAGTTTTTTATACAAAGAAAATGTCCTAAAAGAAAAGGAAAAGGGGCACTTTTATTCTGAAATCGGTATAATCTTATTTTAAATATATATCTATTTTCTAAAATAAAAAGAGTCAGCTTTATGCATTCTGTCCATTTTAACTTTTTAAATGAGTTCTTAAGCTTATCCGGTTTGAGATATCAAATTATTCCTTGTGTATAACTATAGTTATTCTATTTTTTAAACGAGCCCCTATCTTATTACTACAAGCATGCGATTTGAAGTTGTTGCAAAGCCACTTTCAAACTCAACTTTGGTGATATTGTCTTCTTAGGTCTTGGACATCACTATAGCTTTTCTAATTTTGAAACGAGCCCCTTACTTATTAATATGTGTATGTACCTTCACGAACATTTCCAAGAATGCCCAGACTTACACTATCAATTCGTTAGCTCTATAAATCCTCTGGAATTTGTGTATTCCTCCCCTATTATTAAACACAATGAATATACTTTTTCATATCAGGTTATGTATTTATAATATTTACAAATGACAATAACTTTTCAGAATTGTAAAAAATGTAATGCACATCTAGGTCACCAAAAGTGATAATTTGAATATAAGCTTGCTTGAGTTGCGTCCCATGTTGTTAGTTTATAATACTCCCTTAGTACGTTTTGGGAATTTGGTATTGTAAGCCGCATGCATTTTGCTATGTGAAGAAATTAATCTACACACCTTACCTTAAAAAGTGAAACCAACTATATGTTGTTGAGAGCACATGAAGAGAATAATTTGGTAAAGGGTTTTATTTTCTTGACCACTTATCCTGAAGTCACATTGCCTTCTAAATGTATCACTAAATAGCATGTATTAACGTTTTTTTGCTAGACAACTCGCATGCATAATATCAGATAGACTAACTTCCCATTTTCTTAGTATAAGATTACTTCCTTTATATATCTATCCATTGATGTACAGAGTCTATACACAGTGAGCCTTGTTTATTTAAAAATAAGAAATTCTTTATTTCTCTTAATTTTAGGAATTCCAGCTCTCTACATACCTAGGGCATACCTATTGCATCACCATAAAATCCAAGATAAATGAATGTGTATCAGTCTATACGGACTACAGTACTTTAACAACTAAACATGGAAAAGTTAATGAGTATAAAACTCAATAGACTTTCAAGGAAAAGTACGAGTATTTGTTTCCGGGGAAAGGTGAAGAAATAATTCGTTACTCTTTTAGAGGCCGTTTGACAATACTGTTTTTCGGCTTATCAGGCTTATCAACCAGCTTTTTCACCAAACACGTAATTTTTGTTTGTACGCGCTGAATTGTGTAATAAGCAGAAAAAATAAGGTTGGAGTTACTTTTCTGGCTGTATTGGCTGAAGTTACTGTAGATGACTATTTTAGCTATTTTTACATATAATTTTTTCTTTATTTTATTAATTTAATATGTTTTTAAAATAATTTTTTCTTAAATCAGCAGAATCAGCCAATGCAGCCACTTCAGGCAGAACTTCATAACTTTCAGCAGAATCAACCAAAACAGCCGATTTTGGTGCTACCAAACAGGCTCTTAATCTCCTAGCGGATAAAAGCTCACTTTTCGCCAATTTAGAGTTTGGGTTAATCTCGATTTTGGACCGGACCTAATTCATTCAAGCCCTCATCTCTGTAGAAAACAAAATATCTGGACCAAGCAAAAAGAAGAACACAGTGGAAATGATAGAACTCGCAGTTAATGATATCACCCGTCCACTTTTCTTGATGATGTCAATCCAACTTTTCCGACCGTTGGATCTGCCTAAAAGTTTACCTGGAAGTTTAACTCACTAGTCTTTTTTCTGAACGGTTTGATTCATGTCTTGAGGTTTCTACCTGGAGTTACAGGGATTCAAACAACTTGTTTTCGGATATTTCTTCCCTCTTGTGGTGTATTGGTGTTGTTTTATGTTGCGTTTTGTGTCTTCCTTTTGATGCTGCTTATCATAGACTATTTTGGGAGAACATTGTAAAGAAACTCTGATATACATTGCAGCTTTAATGATGGCCTGAAGGTTCCATAGTTTTTCCTATTGGATTTGATTTGTTTTCATGTAAACGTATCGTACTATTTACTTTCAATGTTATTTGTTCTATTTCGAGTGGTTAAATCAGTGCAATGTGCCCCTACCCTTTACAAGTTTCGGAAATCGATTTATAACACCATATAGTGAACATTGTGTATTTGTGTTTTTTTTTTTTGAAAAAAAAAATGTTATATAACTATATTGATGATGTAGCAACTACCACATATAGATATGTTAGGTGCCATCGTGTCATTGGAGAACATGATAAAGTATTTAACCAAGTGAAGTCCAACGTCTTAAAAAAATAAAAATTCATTCCAAATGCCGTGAACATACGTTTACATACATGTCTTACTTTCATTGGTCACAGAATAACCGATGCTTATAGTGCACACTGCACACAAGGTAATGTCATTATAAAGAGTTAGAGACCGAAGTTTGATTTAGCATTTCGTATATGGCTATATCTCTATTTGTACACATATTGGATTATTATGAATAGGAGATGCCTATTACGATTTTTAATTGCATATGTTTATTAGATAGGAGTACTAACCTATTTAATCAGGATTATTATTGATTTTATAACTACTACATATTTGGGGCTATTGGATTTAAACTTGCAAATGAAATGCATGTTCTACAAACACTATAAACCTCACCATTCACCACACTCATTTTAGGTTGCTTATTACCACAATGTTGATATTATATTCCTATAGGTTGTCATGGGATCTATCCTTGATCAAGATAAAAGACACCTCGTATCTCTTTTTGAATATGTTATTACGAAAAATATTTACGCATAAAGCTTGTGTGTAATTTCAAACAACTCATATATACTATGTTAAGTTTATCGAAATAGCATTGGGCATTTTTCCCTCGCGCATCGCGCGTCGTACAACTAGTATTAACATAAGTATATATAAATGTTAATGTTATGTAGACATTGTACTTAGGGGGTGTTTGGATCTGATTCTTAAAACTGCTTCTGCTCATTCAGGGAGTAGAATCAGAAGCTGAAGTGTTTGGGTGAAAGTGCAGAAGTGATTCCGGTGCTCTAATTTACTCCCAGAATCAGTTTTTTTAGAAGCTGGGGGAGACCAACTTCTGAAAACTGATTCTGATTCTGCTTCTGCTTTAAAAAAGAAGCAGAAGCAGAATCAGTTCCAAACACCCCCTTATTTTTGCACACACTGTGTTCTAATTTATATTTTTCAAATATAAAAGGTATTTACAAAAGTATTATAATCAACTACAAAAATTAAAAAAACTAAGTTTACCATTTTCACTCTCATATATAGATTTTTCTCAATAAATGCATTCATATATAAATTTTTAGATGTATTATTTATTTTCCATTTATAAATAGAAGTCATTAATATTATAATAGTTATATATGAATTTTAATGTTATATAGATGGGGTAGATAATATGAGAGTAAAGCGTGCAACATTGGAGAGTCATTTGAATGATCCGTCATGAGTGGAGCATCTACAAGTGATGGTCATGACTATCATTCCACATATGCTCCCTTTAATGAAATTAGTAATAGTACGTTACTTTTTTGGTATTTGATTATAACTTTTTTGGTATTTGATTATATATCATACTTGCGTTTAATTGATAGTTCAATAAAAATATTCTAAAAAGTATTCCAATATGTGCCTTATGTCATTATAAATAAATAAAAAATTATACAATTTATTAGTATCGTACCCGTGCGATACTAGTAAACAATTTAACGCCACGACTAATCACTAATACTAGTACTCCATATAATTTACCGGGAAAACTGCCAAATAGGTTATCGAATTTTCATAAAAAAATCAATTAAGTCCTTCTATAGGAGACTTTGTCCGGTCATCGCGATTTGGGGCGGTTCCCGGTGAAATTTTTTGATGAAATTTTTAGAGCATCTTATTCATCAGGTCTAGTTTACTCATACCAAATTTTAGCTAAAAATTTAATCGGAAGCGCATTCAAATTAATTCAAGAACGCAAAAATGCGCAGTTATCTTCAAGAATTAATTTGAATGTGTTCCCAATTGAATTTTAAGCTGAAATTTGGTATGAGTAAACTAGACTTGGTGAATAAGATGCTCAAAAAATTTCATCAAATAACTCCACCGGGAACTGCCCCAAATCGCGACGGCTAGACAGAACCTCCTGTAAAAGGACTTAATTGACTTTTTTTTTTATGAAAGTTCGAGTACCTATTTGACAATTTTCCCTAATTTACCCCAACTAAAGACCTAGTGTGTTTTTGTTTGGGATCTAAATTTAATTGATTCAAGCCCATACCAAGACCCGAGTCGGAAGCCATGTCGATTCCCGCCTCCATCAGCTTCAATTTCTCGAAGCTTTTCAGCCCCCCAAAAAACCTCCATCTTCTTTCCCAGCAATGCCCAGTTCCACACCATATTCTCCAATTCCACGTCTTCGGTTGCAGCTCCAAATCCCCCGACTTTGTACCCTTAAACCTTTCCTTCCGGAATACTGGACGAGTTCAGAGATTCAAATGTACTGCTGGATCGGAGTCCGTACAAGCTTCTCCAACCTTGCCGAGTGGTGGAGAGGAAGAAGCGAAGCTAGATGACGGTAACAGTGGAGGAAACGGACGATTTCCCTCCGGAAATGGCGGCGGCGGTGAAGGAGAAAATGAGGGTAACGATGATGAAGATGAGTTTGGACCGATAATGAAGTTCGAGGACGTTATGAGGGAGGTTGAGAAGCGCTGCGCTAATCTGCCCGATGATATGTTGGAGATTGCAAAGGCTATGGGGCTTCGCAGGCTCATTCTTACTCGGTACTTGGATTTGCAGGTGAAAGTGTTTCAGAATTATACTTTTATATGTTACTCTATGTTTAGCTGGAGAATCCTTCACAGTTACACCTCTATGACTTGATGATGTCCAGGCTGCAGCTTGGCCTCTCGGATTTTTAATGAGATATTGCTCAATGCTAAGGGATCGAATGCTAGCGGATCCTTCTTTTCTATTCAAAGTTGGAACAGAGGTTAATCAAATGTCGCTTGAGAATGGTTTTGCATTTTTTGGTTTGGTTTTCACCAACCATATTTAAATACTGATATATATGCTCTAATACTGCAGATTGTGATAGACTCTTGTTGTGCGACTTTTGCTGAAGTTCAAAAAAGAGGAAAGGACTTCTGGGCAGAGTTTGAATTGTATGCTGCTGATCTTTTGGTTGGCATTGTTGTTGACATTGCTTTAGTTGGTATGCTGGCTCCTTATGTCCGGTTCGGAAAGAAATCAGTTTCAACTGGATTGTTTGGACGCCTGCAGCATGCATGCGGATCTCTCCCCAGCAGGTGCCCTGCATTAGGATATATATCTTCATATATCTCTGAATCACTCATTTATAGTGGGATTGATAGCAATCTGGGATTGTGGCTGTAGGCTATGTATGGAACTATAAAATATTAGGGAAAGGGAGAAAAATGCCTTGGGAAGTGATTTTGTAATATTTGATTTTACCTTGCAAAATACGAATGAAAATCAAATTCAATAGAAACTTCTAATTTCTTTATACATATAGTTAGGTTTATGAACTATGACATTTCTGTCTAGATAGTGTAGACAACTAGACATATGTACTTCAATAGAGTTTTCAGAAATATCTAAAATAATTGTGTTGTGCCTGAACCAGTTTTTCCCCCCAAATTTTTTTTACCCTCACAAATTTCCCAATGTGCTCACCAGTCACCATTCATCATGTTGGCATGATGAATGGTGTAGATCTTCCCATTTTGTAAGATAAAAGAATCCCCAACCTTCATCATGCCAGCATGCTCTATACTGAGCATGTTGGTGTGCTTACTAAATTTGCTCCATATTTTACTCCTTAGCTTCTTTGCCTAACATTCTAAGGGACTCAAATGAGCCATTATAGAATATAGACTCTCCTTCCCAAAATGTATTCCCCAGATATTCTAAAACAGGGTGGAGGTAACATTAATAAATTTGGAGCAGGCTCTGATCTTTTAGTCTTTACCATAGCTTTTATTTGCTTGCATTTATTTATTTATCTATCCATCCATCCATCCATTTATTATTTAGTTATTTATTATTTACCTATTCAAAAAGTAGTTTTCTGGATTAAAGTAATATGAATTATCTCCACTGTTGATGTAATTTTGAATTTTTGATGCAGTGTTTTTGAAGCTGAGAGGCCAGGTTGTAAATTTTCATTGCAGCAGCGGGTTGCCACCTACTTTTATAAGGTCGAGATCACTTCTCTTGACATCTGTAATTCAAGTGTTTACATTTTTACTGTTCTAATAATCAGTTTATTCATTTGGAAACTCTAGATCTATTCTAGGTGACTAGGTGCCAACTTGTTATTTTTGTCTGATAAGTGGATGATAAAGAAGTTTCACCTTCTCATTTTGAATCCAGGGAGTGTTGTATGGCTCAGTTGGATTCGTGTGCGGCCTCATTGGTCAAGGAATAGCAAATGTGATTATGAACGCTAAGAGGTATGTTTTGATACTAGTATGCTCAATTGAAAAAGCATAGTTGGGATTAGATGGTAGAACTCTCATTTGGTAATTGCCTTCCAGGATTATTAACTTGCTACTCCGTATTTTTTATTCATATATAGATTATGTCATAGATTTGCAATGTTTTACTGTCACATTTATCGCTGGGAATGATTCTTAGGTAACATGATTAGGTTGCAAGTGTGTTAATTTAACTTGAATGAGTTTAGACTTACCCAGAAAGACTTAATTGAGTTATTTCCCATAGAAAACAATCTAGGAAATTAGGAAGACATATAGCTATAAACCTTTGAGGTTCTCACTTCTCATGCGATAACCTAAAAACGAAATATCTTCTCTCTTTTTATCAAGTATCAATTTTACTGATAGCTTCAATTAATATTTCATACTTTACTTTTACCTTCTCTTCTGTATCTTTACATTCCTTTGGATTTAATGAACTAACTGATATACACTCTCTTGTCCTTGTAATTTATTTTTTGTTTCTCTTTGGTGATGTTATAACTACAGGAGTATCAAGAAGTCTGAAGATGATATACCCGTTCCTCCTTTAGTGAAAAGTGCTGCACTGTGGGGTAGGTTATATTATATGATTTATATCTATATTACTCCGTATATCTTTCAAAGATAAAGCTTTCGTAGATGTTGGTCCAGTTTGGTATTGGCTTTTAAGTCAACACTTACTAGTACTAGTATTTCAGAAGCTCATTTGGTTGAGTCAAAGAGTGTTGCACCTTAGAAAGCTATAGCAATTAAAGAACTGAGAAGACACGAAAGTTAAAAAAGGCTTTAACTCACCTGCAAGGCAAAATGATCAACTATTCAACTAAAAAAATCCACTGCACCTCCGGACTAAACATTTCTGCATTATCACGACTTTAAGTTTCATCCATAAGTTACAAAACTAACATTCTTCACGCGACACAACTCAACACTCTTTACACAGAGTTCAGCACCTCATAACAGTTGTACCAAACATTCCTTTGTTCAGGTGTTTTCCTCGCGATATCTTCCAACACTCGTTACCAAATCATAAATGGATTGGAACGTGTTGTGGAAGCATCACCAATGGCAAAACGGATTCCGCCTGTTGCGTTGGGCTTCACGGTTGGCATAAGATTTGCCAATAACATATATGGTGGGATGCAGTTTGTAGATTGGGCCAAGTTGAGTGGTGTGCAATAGTGCGTCCGATTTCTTTGATAGTATTACCATTCTTTCTTATTTTACGATTTTAGTTGTTGATTTGAGACTTGGTTAAGATCGAGTGCAATGTCATCATCTCTTCTTTCTTCCTATTTAATTCTGGATTTGTGGATAAATTGTGTTCTATGAGATTGTTGAGTTTAAGAATTATGAGGTATTTCCATATTGTTCTTGTATGCTTGATACAAATTTAGATGGGCACAGTAGAGCATTATTGTGCAAAAAAATTTGTTTGTTGCATAACCTCAGTGATAACTGATAATCGACTGAGTTCAACTGTTCAAGTACAGTAGAGTCGAGGTCCAAATAAATCAAAACTCAAGCAGTGTGATTAAGGACAACAAGTCAAACGTGTCTAGGATGATCTTCAAAATTTGAAGTCAAACGTGTCTAGGATGATCTTCAAAATTTGAAGGATACTTTGATCGGAGAACCATCTCAAATGGAATTTTTTTTTGAAGAAAATCTATTTTCTCACAAACAAAAAAAAAATGTCTATATCACCGACACTTATGAAAAATTTCAATCTAAAATGTCGATATAGACAACTCTTAAAACGTTTAAAATTCTGGTCTAGACAACTCTGTATACCGGTGTGTAACCTGGGGTTTACACAAAGCGGGACTCATCTAAAATTATAGTACACATACTCCGTGTCTCCGTATGGCGTATGATATTTACCCAATTACACCTCTGAATCTCTGATGAGAACTGAGTATGATTGGACATAGTTCCAAAACTGAGCGGGTAAAGAATTGAGCTACGTGCCTGGATTTGCGGTTCTGGACTGGAGCCCGTATACGTGGAACTGGTTATCCGGTTCTGAACTTCTGACCATGTGGTTCCCAATCCAGTTTTGTAGTTACGGTTTGGTTTCTCCCTATCCCTACACGGAAGGCCGGAACCCGGAACAAACCACTTTTGGAGAATTTGGTTGGTAACAGTTTGTGCATTTCATCTATCATTATATAAAAGCAAAATGTTTGTGGGAATAGTGTTCCCCCCAAAATCTTTAGGATAAAAAATGCATGACTGTAATTTACAATAATATCCCTGCTCAGGGGGATTGCACAACATTAATAGAAGATGAAAAATGTGAACAGTATCGATTAGATATTACATACTTAATTGACAATTCAATGAAAAGATATGTGGTGGCAATTTGCTCAAAGGAAAACAATGCCAGGGTGCTTTTTGTGATTGTAATGGCATCTTTTACTTTCCAAAGAAATTGGCAGCTGATATCTTTTTGGGCGGCTGGCCATATCAATATTACTAACATTACACCCGAGGAATCATTACAAGTTTGAGCCTGTGAGATCAATAAAGTATTCTCATTACTTCATGAGGTAAAATAAAATTATAAAACAAATGCTAAATTTTACAGCACACAACCTTAGACATAACCTATTTCCTAGATATTATTATTAGGCCTACAATGAAGAGTGTTTGACAGCTCATTGTGGTAATTTTTTTTACCGAAAACATATACACACAAATATTATGTGTATAATGTGAATAAACAGTGCATCAAAGGTCTCCTATAAATAGACTCATTTGCACTCATATTCACCATTCAATTCTTCTTTCACTCCAACTAGCTACTGTATCCACTATAAAAATGGTTGGCATGTGGTCCTTAATAAGCGAGTTCCACCAATCTAAAACTACTTGGGCATTCAAAGCCCGAGCTGTTCGTGTCTATACCGTCCCTGCCCATGGCATTTACGGTGAATCTTTGCAGTGCATTTTCCATGACGCTGAGGTATTCACTTAACTGTCCAGATTCGTTTCTAATACATTAAGTATGTTACTCTAATTACTTACAACTCTATATATAGGGAACAAAAATACATGCACACATTGCAAAATCAGAGGTTGCGAAGTTTGAGCACCTGTTTAGGGAAGGAAATGTTTATGCAATAAGAAAAGTCTTGGTGCTAGACAACTATATGAAGTTCAAGACAACAAGGAATGCTTTCAAGTTGTTATTCGTCAACCGAACTGATGCCTTTGAAATCTCTAACATTAATTTTCCAATGAGGATGTTTGACTTCACATCTATAGCTGATGCTGAAGTTATAGACGAAACCTATGCCATAGGTGATTTTTTTAAAATGAAAATACATTTTCTTTTATTGAATGTTTAACCATACTTATTCATTAATTTATAATCACATATAAATTAATACATTAATTCATTCATAGATGTGATCGGCAAGGTAACTTCAATGTCAGACCCAAAGGACCTAACAAAGAATGGTAAACAAACGAGGTTGCTTGATCTTACCCTCGGTGATGCCAAGTACGTATTATGAATATATAAAAATAAACAGTTAGCTGTAATTTTCCTTTTTGACATGCTTCTTATATTTGTAGTGGAAATACGATTGCCTACACTCTCTGGGAGAACATGTTAGAAGAGTTCATGGATTTTCTTAAAACAAAACCGAAGTCAATCACTCTTATTCTTCAACGCTGTCGTGCTAAAAAATTCCAGGGTATGTTGTAAAATGAAATACGATATTCGATTGGTTTGTTCTTAACAATGTATCTATTTAGGTCTGGTGGAGGTAACAAACATGTTCCATGTGACTAAGATGTTACTGAATAGCAACAGTGAGGAGTGTGCAGCTTTCAATTCCACGTAAGATTTTTTTTGGATTATCTTTGTTATCACAGAAAGCATTTCTGACATTAATCTATGCTATATTAAATAACAGGTTCGGTCCAGATAATAATGACGGTGGGGATGCTCTAGCCTTAGCTACTTTTGTTACCCCTTCTTTTCAAGATGACCTAACTGCTGGAAAAGTTCAGTTGGTATCAATTGCAGATCTAATGAAAATGGAAGAGGTTGTTATATATCATACACTTTGTATTACAAAATTTCTTACCTTATTTGATAGATTATAGTCTGATTAGAAGTTATTATATACTTATAATAATACGATAGAAAACACTGGATTTATGGAGAGATATTGACAATAGACAGCTACAGAGATTGGTACTACATATCTTGCAGAGGGTGCAGCAGAAAGGTGTGTCCTGAAGGTGACAATTTCAGTTGTGGTGTGTGCAACACCAAAGAAGTAGTTCTAAGGTGAGAACGTTTCATTTTTCAGTTTTTTAAACTAACAGCCACATAGCATTTACAAAAAACTTTTCACATTTCAGGTACAAAATTAATGTTAGGGTGATGGATGAGACAAGTCATGCTTCTTTTGTGTTTTGGGACATAGAATGCTTTACTTTGGTTGGAAAAACTGCAAGAGGAGATTGAACAGGTTTTCTGGACGAGACATAAAGTATTTATTGCTTACATATCTAATAGATCTATATATATTAATAAGTTTAAAAAATGGTGGACTGTACAGAAAAATGTTGGACCATATTATTTTCCAGTCGAGATTGATGCTATGGTTGAAACTAAGGGGTTGTTTCGATTGCAAACAAAGAAGGAAAACAAATACTACAAGGGTGTTCCTACTTTTAGTGTAATTAGAATGAATTGTGATCCAACTGTTATCGCTTTATACAAGTATAAAGGAAAAGCAGTTGAGGAAGAAGATGATGCAGTTGAGGAAGAAGATGATTTCACACTACTTAGGAAGGAGTTTTCTGTGTCTGAAGAAGTATGTGTACTTATCATTTTACCTGTATGGTTTACCTTTGTGTTTAAAATTAGATATTTAAATTCGATATTGATTTCAGGTCCTCATACCTGATGAGGAGGAGACCAGCCCCCTACTGTCAAAAGAAAAAAGGAAGGAACTTGTGGTGAACTACGACGGCATCAAAAGGAAGCTGTTTGTTGAGCCCCCGCCTGTCAAGCCACCAAAGAAGCTGAAGAAGGTGAAAATGGAAAAGGAGTAATGATGTTTGAACAATGAAGAACTTTTTGCTAATGAAGAACTTCAAGAACAATGAAGAACTTTTTGCTAAAATGAAGCATATCATGTATGCAGTATTTTCTATGTTTTTCTGTTAGTGCATTAGCATTTCAGAAAAATGTTTGCTGCCTGGAATAACTTAGGGATAAGTTTAGGTTATGTTACAAACTTTTGGAGTGGGTTCTTTTCTAGATAATCTATTTTGATCCCAAGTTTGTAATTTTTGGCATTTGTTGCCAAGTGTGATGTAACCTATTCGGAATGTAATTATATGTAAATTACGTTCTATTTCCAGATTCTAAGAACTGTTTCCTTGGCTTTATATATTACAACTAAACTAAACTTGATGACTAGCTACACTAAACATGTAAAAATATTTGATGACTGCATGTAGGCAACAAAGTATAGAGAAAAGTTGGATTAAATATAAGCATCATAAATTTAAAATAAAAAGTTATATAATAGCTGCCAGGAAAACATTAGGCATTTGACCCTTTTAGCTTCAAGTCCATGTTAAAGTGAGCTACACAATGCTTTTAATATAATTATTCTCTTGACATCCACAAAATATATATATATATATATATATATATATATATATATATATATATATATATATATATATATATATATATATATATATATATATATATATATATATATATATACCATCTCAATAAATGCAAGTGCATTGAATAAATACCACAAAATAAAGGAATGGATTTGCGTAAGTCATTTTTGTGGTCAATATTCATAAACTATGCATGGGTGCATCACAAACCTTTGTACTATCAAAATTCATCAACTAGATTTACAAAATTGTATTCATACCTTGGTATGATGAATGATGGGATGATTCAAAACCATACTCTGTAAACTTATACATTAAGCTTCATATCATAAAATATAAAACAAAGTACAATTCCAATTGTATAAGCAAACATTGCATAGCCATATATGCATTAAGTCCATCACTAATATATTTTAAGTAGATAAAGTGCATAATTGCATAATAATACATACATATATAAAAGATATAATTTTATCCGTTTGAGATACTTTATGTGGAAATATCACACATAGTAGTCTAAATTTATTTTGAATTTAGTGAAGGACATTTGTTAACTTTAAATAATATTTAGAATGTATAATGTGTTTTATAATTAGGCTTATTATGAAGGAGAGGATTTATTAGTATAATCATGATAACCCTAATACGATTTCATAATTAGATTATGATTAATATTTAATTTTTTTAAAAAAATATTAATAGTAATTAATATTATTTAAATTATTATTATTAATTTTTAACATAGTTGGCTGATTTGTATTATTAATAATTTAATATTATTATATTTAATAAAAATATTTAATAATTATAATATTTAAAAAATAAATAATAATTACATAATATTAGATTTTAATTAAATATTAATGTTATTAATAATATTAATAATAATTAATAGTATTAATAATTAATAATATTGGATTATTATTAATATTTAGTAATGACTAAATAAATACTAATAATAATTAATATTACTCAATGATTATTAATATTTAACGAGTCCTTATGAAGGAGAGGCTTTATAAATTCAAATATGTTTCATATTTGGCCTCATGAGTATAACTAATAATTAATAATAATGACAATAATAATAATGATTAATTATTATTTAAGTATAAAAAATTAAAAAATTAATATTAAAAAATATTAATTTTTAAGTACAAAGAGTTTTTTAAGTATAATAATAATTAATTAATTATTATTTAATTATAAAAAATTAAGAAATTAATATTTTTCATTTTTATTAAAAAATAAAAATTTAAAATGTGAACTACTATTACTTAATTAATATTAATATTTAACAGTATTAATACTTAAATTTATATTTATTAAAAAATTTAAAAAATCATTTCTTTTATTATAAGTATATTATATGTTATTAGTAATGTATAAAATATTAAAAATAATTAATTATTTGTCCTGAGAATTATATTTTTCTTCTTCATAATTGACCTTATGAAAGAGTAATATTTAATTGTTATTAATGTTGAATGGATATTAATATAAAAAATATTAAATAAGAGTTCTGTTTATATTATTGAATAATATTATTTATTATTCACATACTCCGTATTATTAATTAAAAGTATATTGAAAGAACTATTATTATCATTGTTTAATTAGGTATTTATAATTTAAAAAGTGAAGTCCTTAAAATTTATTATTAATATTAATACTATTAATATATCTCTATTTGCAAAATAGAGATTTATTTTTGAAATATATTTAGTACATTTTGGATGTACGTTTTATATTTTAAACATATGTTAAAATCTAAAAAATCAAACGTATCTTAAAATGGTATACAACTAAGGTATTCAGTTTACTGTTTGGTTAGATTTGGAAAAGCAGTTTTTGAGTTGTCATTATGAAAAGTCATCTTTTATAATCTTACTTTACCGGATGGGGTTGTGTGAAAAAACAGTAAGCATGCTGAAAGAGTACTCATTACCTGCTGTGTTTGTGTAAATTTAATTATCCAAAAAACTGACACCAATTTAAAATGGTTTAGGAGTGTATAATGTATATATACGACCAATGTATATAATATTTGTGATATTAGTTAAATGTCGATAATATGCATATTTTTTAATATAGGACCAGGTACACTTCATTCAAAGCCATAGTCTTTTTACACTGATAATAAATAGTAAATGTGATTAAATCGAAATAGCTCAAAAAGCATTCAGTGATACATACAATTCAATGAAGTTACGTCCTAAATATATGATTTACATGATACTATTTGTCACGCCCCGGACCTCCCCGGACACGTCAACAACCCGCCGTACAATACGAATAGTCAACCACAGTCCAACACATTCATATTATACAAGGCGTCATGAATATCATTCACACATAAGTCATCCACAAACATACATAATAAACAATTCAATACGCAGCGGAAAACATTGTTTGAAACAAAAGGCCACACGGGGCAAACATGAGCACGCAGGCTCTAAAGTGAAATATCCATGAGCATGTTTATTAATGTTCTAAAACAGAATGGAGGAAGCACGAACCAAGTCTTCTCTCCGGGGAAATCACTCGGGCAACGAGCACAGGAAGCAAGCTCTAGCCTCAACCTGAAATGGTGGTGGGACGCCCCCGAAGGGGTCAGTACTCTATACGGCTATAAAGTACTGGTGTGGCAGGCATCTAATAGATATACAACAAGTATTTCACACACAAGACCCTCAATTAGGGTGATAATATAGTTTAGGCTGTAATCCCAAATTACCCCTTCAAAATATATACTTACTTTATATAAAGTCAAGTAGTCGGCTCAAAGGCCCATGTTTATCACAAAACATTTCCCAAACCCCGTGACTAACGGTCACGACATACATAGGGTCCAACCCTAATATAACTTCTCATTTCTAGAGTTCGGCTCGAGTACATCATCATGCACTCGCATCATAGATCTCCTACTTCAAGTAATCATATCATAGATCTCCTACTTCATGTATTCACCCCATAGATCTCCTACTTCATACAATCACACCAAAGATCTCCTACTTCATACAATCACACCATAGATCTCCTACTCCATGAAATCACAATTGACACTTGAATCTTATTCAAGTTCATCACAAACAACTCAAACCTTAAGTTTGATTCTATCGACATTTAGAACAATCCTTAACTAGCATCACAATACTATTAAGATTATTCCTACAACTCATTTATTCTTAATGGTAGCCCCTCCATATCAATAGATATGTGGCAGCCTCCCATGTGCTAAGCATCATCATGCAATTATACATTTACATACACATAACATCCATACATGAGTTGGAAAGGTCATTTTGCCATATTAGCATACTTCTACCTCATATGACTCCATATTCATCAATATGTTTTCAATTCATGATCAAGTCCATTAATTATCATTCATATCATGTTCAAGCCTCTTTATTCACAAAAACATGATTTAAACATTTAGGTAATCTCATGCATAACCTACAAGTTGTAAGCAACTAGATGTCGGTCCTCACCTCAAATGAGCCTTAAAACTTTCCTTCTCGATCCAATGACCAAGCCTCGGCCAAGGAAGATTGAGAACTGGTTCTTTGCTTGAAAATGGGTGTTAAACAGCCTTCTTAAGTTGCTATTTCAACCCCTAATCGTTGGTACGAAAACAGCCCCTAGAATGGGTGTTTCCCGACGAATTCGTTCCCTAACCTTTCAAGGTTTTGTTTAGGTTAGTATCTAACCTTTACAACAATTAAAGTTACTTTATAATAACATTTTATACACTTCAATCAGTGTATAATAGTTCTTCAATCATTTACATGGTTTAGACAATAGAGAGGAAGGTTTTGGATTCAAACTTACTTTGAATACAAAAAACGTATTCCGCGAGGTTGCGTTTTGCTCGGACGATTTGGACGCCTTCCACTACTCCGATTGATGCAAACCAGACCCCAGACCTTCACGTATTCCTCGTCTTGATAGCTTTCTTTTGGTATCTTATACGCCTTAATTGGATTGGTATAACTCGAGATATGCACCAAACAGCTTCAGCACTCTCCGAGCTCGAGTTTACAAGCCCATTGCTCACTCCAGATCGATTTTTGTATGATTACTCTCTCCTCTCGAGCAGAGACCACTCAATTATGAAAATAGACTTCAAAGGCTATCCAAGGACACCTTAATCAAGCTATTTGGGCGAGTACAACTCTCAAAATGAAGGGAGACAAAACAGCACACCTGTTTGTGCGAAAACAGTGGTGGCCCCAAAATTTGATTCCAATTGTGTCATGGGCAGTGCTTCTCCATGTGGTGCGGCCAAGGTGAGTCTTCTCACCTATTTTCCTTGTCTTGCAGGTACTCAAGCCACATGGGATGCCCCCCAATTGATCTCAATCAATTTGAGGTCCAAAATACCTACCAATACTTCCAAGAAATGGGAAGATGGGTCCTATTGTTTTATCTTTGTCAAAGATGCCTTTTTGTACTCATCCTAATTTATTTAGAACAAGTCAACTTCCTAAATCACATTATTGATCTCCAATATGTGTAGGCTCATCCCAATAATTTACTTGATGGATATTATAGAAGGAAAATCATACTCCCATTATTTAGCTCAATAAGGCCAAAGATGGGGTTATAAGCAATTGTATTCTTCTTTAATCATTCTATCACTTATTTTGACATTTTTCATACATATTATTGGACTACTATCCGTGTGGGTC